CCAGCCAAAATGCCTAACGTCGCCTGGCCTGGCCCAGTTGCCTGGCATAAGGCAAAATGCAACCGACGGCCACACCTAGAAACGGAACCGTCGACACACTTGCTTGGGCAGAGAAAGGCAGCGGCGCCACGGCGAAGTGTTTTGGATCTGCTTGGCCTGGCCAACTGTTTCACCCTGCGGTGTCCCCGGCGCCGCCCCGCCTGGGCGTCCGCTAGTCAGGGGTCGGCGGATTTCTCTCAGTGGTGTTTGTTTTTGGTTACCGTAAATAGTGTGTTTATTTGTGCACTTGATCATCCTTTTGACTGAAAGACTCACATGACCAATTTCCACCAACTGGCTTTGCATCCCAACTGCTGAACCACATAAGTTTTCTGAGTGGCATCGTAAAATTTAAGCATGGGTCCCCCCTGCATGTGATGCGAATTCCAGACGTTGAACACAGCTTTGTTTTGCCAAACTTGCCAGGAAATGCCAGGAATCAAAAGGCGTAGGATTTGCCACGCTTGGCAGGCCCGTTCGAACGCACAATTTTCCTGAACCGACATTGTAACATGCTGCCTTGTTTGAACTGCGAGGCTGCACCACTTCCCCAAGGCACGTTGCAACATCTCAATGTTTATAAGTGTTTACATACATAAATGTCATATATAAACATATATAGCTTCATATATTTACTTCGACATACAGTGTTCTTCCAAGAATTCCTTTGGATGTTCGGCCAAAGACATCTTGAAGAATTTTTGGAGACGTTGACGGGAACGAAGCCAATGAGCTCAATTCAGAAGGCTATATGCTAACCATGGCCATGGCATGGCGCAACATTCCCATTGTGGAGACGTACAGTACTTATGAAGATTCAACGAGAAGTTCTGTAGTGTTCTTGATTCTTGACGCTTCTTCACTCAATCAGCGAGACACATGCTAGTGGCTAGCCCCAATGGGAGTGCCCGTGAACTCCCCGGAAGATGGCCTTCCACATGCAGCGCTGTCGAACTATGGAGAAGTGATTGATGTGCCCTCCTCAGATTGTGCGATGTTTATAATTAATGAACAAGTGCCATTTCAGGGAAACCAGGACCGCCAATTGTACTGACAGAAGCACAGCTGGGCACGCACCATAAATCTTTGAGGCACCTTTCCGCTTGCCGACTGAAAGCTGAATGCTTAGCGGGACATAGATCATCCTAGATCCAAAGCAAAGGCGGTTCAGTCGGTGCGCGGCTTTGAACATGTGCTCTCCAGGCTACCAGACATTTTCGCGCCTACTTCCTGGATTGGAACAGGCTGGGATTCTACACTCATTCTAATGTCTCCGAGTTTTGGACAAGGATTCGGAGAATTGCAAGAATGTCGACGAGGAGCTCAGGAAACTCGATATCGATCCGAAGGCTCCACCGATTCTGCAAGTGCCAACATGCCTAGGATACGTGAGGGATCGTAGACATATTGATGGGCTCAATGTACAGAGACTCCAAACCCATCCACGGTTGCGCCGTTTTGAGCAGCCTTGCCAGCTCTTCTACCGGAACCAAAACAGACTATTTTTAAGTCAGTGGCAGCCCAAGCAGTTCAAAGCAACGAGGCAGGCGTTACACTTTGATGGCTGCGCTGTGTCAAACCAAAGTTAAGTTGCGCATGTTGGTGCGATGCTCGCAGTGTTCTTGATTGACCAAGGCCGCCGCCAGATCTGGACTGTGAAGAATTGAAAGCCGAGATCCAGAGTGAGGAGCGACAGAAAACCATTTCCCATTGGCAGAAAACCTTTGTCTCAAAATTCACACATAGCATGCAGCATACATACGTCAGGACGATTGGATCTTGATACAGAAGGCTTTAGAGAGGGTCGCTTGCTGGCTGATTAAGAGGGAAGCCGAGCACACGGAAGCACATTTTTCTAAGTCAAGCATGAAGTCGATGTGACGAAGCGAGCGGTTTGTAAATCCAGGTGAACACAGTGAAATCAAGTTATCGCCCACCATGGTAGTTTGGAGCATTTTGGAGCACAGAGAGGCTAGGCGGCGTCACAGTTGACATTGCCAAATGCCCGTTAATATGCTCCGAGGCTCCAAGGACCGCTTTCGCCATCTGCATTTGGAGCTCATTCGCCATCAACCATCGCACGGGATGTTGCCGACTTAAGACGAAGGTAGTCGGCTTTGCTGACACTCCTCCAAGGAGAGACCCTGCAAATTCCACAAAAAGTGAAACAACTCAGCTCCTTGCGCACTCGAATCATGAACCAAATACTGACATGCCCTTCTTTGCCCGCGAGGTGTTCCAGACTCCAGGATGTCTTTGTACTATCAAGCTCATGGATCAGAAGAAGCACAATGGTGCTGATCTTCCTTTGCTTGGTCTCTCAAACGTCGCGGTCAAGCCGTCCCCAAGAAAATGAAGTAGACAGCAATGTCCCAGGTCGATTATGACTGACTTCGAGAGCACAGGTAGCGCTCCATGTCTTACATGGCCGCGTGGCAGTATGCAACCCTTGCCGTCTTCCACTGCCTGCGCTCGAGGTAGATTGCAAGGTTGCCGGGCCGTCAAAAACAAGAGACACAATCTGATGAATCTGAGGCCCGGACCGAAGCGAAGCTTGGCATCACGCTGCCCCCTTCACATTGCATCTGGATTTCATCGGATTTCCCCTTGCGCAGTGAGTGTTGTGGAGAATGTAAGGTGGTTTTCCATTTGCTCATGACTCCATGTCCTGGTCAACACCGGATTGACAAGCTGAAGTGTTTTACGACGAAACGCTTCCATAATCATCCGCAATCGAATCTCACCATATTAAATTTTGTAAAAACCACGTGGCCAGTGTTTCCTTTTTCGTCAATTAGCCAAATCTTGTTGCTCGAAGCTTTACAGATTTCCAAGCCTCAATATCCACAAAAGAATTCAGCTCCGGGTCCTGAACAGCAGTCACATCAATGTGTTGCCGAATCATTTCTGGCTTGCCCTGCGTCACTATCCCCTTGGCGGCCAAGAGATTGGATGCATCTTCGACAGAGCCCTCCACAAAGGTGACCCTTTGCTGCCAATGCAATGCCATTGATGGAATTCTCATTGTGCGAGCGAACATTGTTGAACATTGAACCCTTCGTTGGGTGAAAGGCTCAACGTGACGAATATCTCACAATATTGGGTGGACTAGTAGTGCAGTAGTGACTTGAAGCTGTAGACCGCTTAGGCATCGAAGTCCTGCAGTGAATCCTTCTATGTTTTGTTGTTTCTTCGATCTTCTTGGTTTTCCATAGAGTTCATATCAGGCATTTGACAACACTTGCCCAGTCCTATAAGAGCTTCGCAGAAGTGAAGTTACGCTCAAGCGATCTCGGTTGAAGCAATCCCACAAATCGGCCTTACCATGCCTTTGAAATCTAGCTTTGCGGGATGGCCTGTGGAACCGACTGTAGTCTTTCGGCAAGACTGGGCATTGTGAGTCTTGTTCTTGCAGAGTGATGAGGGTGACAAAAAAATACCTCCTCAGTGATTCGTTGCGCGAGGGTTCGTTGAACTGTAACTTTATAATTAGAAGGTTCCATTACTCTACTTGGCCAAGATATCCTTCATGATGTTGGTTGTTGCCGTTGTGCTTGTGTCATATTGCAATATTGGTTTGTCATTAATATTATCGTTGTGATAAGTGTGATTGATTTTGCAGATTTGGCTTGTTGTCATTGGAGGTGTAGCTTTGTTGTTATTGTTCTGGCATGTCCTTTTCAAATTGTGTTGATGCATGTTAGTGCTTGCGATTGATTCTGCCACCATCCTTGGTGTTGCTGTCTTATTGCTGCTTCCATTGATCACATCCAATACTTTGGTCATTGTGACTGGTTGGGCTGTTTATGAGTTTTGTCTCAGCCTCGCTTGCTTGCGACGTGACGGGTTTCTCCGGTTCCAGTACTTTTGCTATGGCCCGGTCATGCAAAACAGCCTGCACGCGTTCCGCTAAGAGATGTGTGAAAAACTACACTTGCAAAGCACACCAAAACCTGACTCCAGCAAGCCAGGCTCAATCACTGAAAACAACAAAGTTCTTAAAGATAAGCTGCACAGTCGAGCATGGATCTCTTCTGGGGTTCGAACCATATTTAAGTACACTGAAGCAGCACAAGAAAAAACTTAGAACCCTGGAAGGACCAGAACATTTGAATTTTCTCCCAGTTTGGCTGTCTAGCGGCTAGTGATTGTTCATATACTAGCATTCAGCCATGGAACAAGCAACATCAACCACCTGTGAAAACCTGACAAAGTCAAAGTGTTTGCGGAGGTCAGAGGGTGAAGGAACAAGTTGAGGGACAACTGCCACTGTTGGCAGTAGCACGCAAGAGCTGTATATTGTTGCAGGATGACATCTTGCTAAGGCAAGATGTACTTGCTGTATATAATATAGTGTGACAAGGAGGGTCACTTCATGACGCTTCACGATCATGCCTTGAAGGGATGGCCACATAGTTACGAAAGCCAGCCGATAGGCTAGGCTGAAGTTGTCGTTGGGTGTGGGGGGTAGGGTGAACACAGAGCCTGGTGGGGGAGAGCGAAAAACAGATGCGGTCAGGAAGGTAGTGAAAATGTATGTTTTTAGGGGGTCCTGGTGATGCGAGTAATGCAAATGATGCCGAATAGTGCATCATTAGCATCACGAAGTGTTCAGGAGACTGTGGTGTAGGCTGTTTGTTTTGACTAGCCGGTGGCTTGGATAGAGGACTCACGAAGTGCCCAGGAAGAGACGCATGAGCCCCAAGCGTCGAGTCAGAAGCATCCAGGAGGAGCTCCCAGGAGGCGACGAGATGATCGCAGAAGAAGCCTTACAGCACCAGCTCAATGCAGTCAGTGACGAGGAGGAGGAAATCGACGCCAGCAAGGGCAAGCCACCTGTGGTGGATGATGAAGAGTTGGCTAAGCTGGATGCAGAGGCATGCAAGCACGAAGAAGCATGCTTCCAGGCAATGGGGGTGCTCGAGAGGAGCTGACCAGGCTAACCAGGCGCGTCCCGGACAGAAGCGGCGAGATTTGCGCAAGCCAGAATCTTTTCTCTTAGAGACAGCGTTCGGACAACGCAGGAGGACATTTGCGGGCTTCATCTTGACAGCTGCGTCTTGATATGGGATCTTCTCTTTGTTTGAAGAGAATGCCCCATATTGAGGTGGGCCCACCAGATTTATGAGTGCAGGTAGAGGAAATAGAATGCAGTCAGGAAATTTTGGGTTGCTTGGGGGGGCCTCTTTATTGTGAAAAGGGCTGTAAACAAAAGGGCGCCCCTCGGAACCATTGAGTTGCTTGGCGACGCCCTTCTTTTGTGAAAAGGGCTGTTGACGGTTGACCGGATGAGAAAGGGCGCCCTCTGAGCTATAGATGTCCAAGCAAGGGTGTGGCTGTCCAACTTAATTCGATCTTTGTTTTGCGGATTGTAAATGATCCTGCTCAATTCCACCTTCCTCCTAACGCGTCGGCTCCACTTCTATCCTATTACCGCTAACAGTGAATTGGCCTAAAGAGCCAATTATATCGACCCTCAACGCGAGACTTTGCGCCTCTCTGCCTTCCATGCCTGACAGCAGTTCAAGTACGGTGTCGAATTCACCGAACCACAT